TGTTCCCATGAAACATGTATATATTATATCCTATCATTCGATTACAATTGTAAATTGTAAATAAAGTGCTTGACAACCCTGTCTTTTCTCATGGCCAGCTCTATGTAGCTCTTTCTAGAGTGACATCCAAGCAAAATCTTCGAATCATCACAGCTAATGGAAAATATACTCAAAATGTAGTTTATCATGAAGTACTATAATGTATGTTTCTTCATGCATAAACAAAAAAACAAAATAATTAATTTAATTAATTATAAACCAGGAAACAAAATAATTAAATATTAATTTATAATTTTAAAAAAAATTTGATCTAATTAATTAAATATTAATTTATAATTTTAAAGAAAAATATTAATCTAATTATTATAAACCAGGAAACAAAATAATTAAATATTAATTTAAAAAAATATTAATCTAATTAATTATAAACCAGGAAACAATAATTATTAATTTATAATAATTTTAAAAAAAATAAAAAAAATACTTATATTTGTCAGTATTATCAATAAAGGTCATTCTTCATTGCCTCCCACTCTTGAATTTTAACTGATTCATTCACCTGGAAAAAAACGTCCTGTAAAAACATGTAAATGTAAAATTGCTTAATCTTTATTGATACACAAAATCTATTTATTTCACGTGGTTCTATCAATGAGGAAGTGTGTTACGATTTGCGGAGCAAATGATTACACGCTAGTATTAATAATAATAATAATAATAATAATATATATATTTTCGACTTTTTCAAACTAATACTAATACTAATACTAATATTGGAGCGACTATATTTTTGTTCTAGCTTTCTTTCACCTCGAGCAGTCTAACGCATTAAAGCACAAATTGACAATTTCTAAAACAAATCGTCAAAATAGCCTTTGGTGAGAAACTATCTTTAGTCAATATTTTACCACCAAAGTTTCGACATGCATTATTAACTACAATCATATTTAACAAAAAACTTTTATTATAATATATATGAATCATTTAAAATGATTTTATCGATTACTAAGAAAAATTAAAGAGGCATATTGAAATTAAATATGCTAATGAAGCATTAAGCATTATAAAATATTACAATTATAAGAAAGTTGATTATAATTCAAACATCCATATTCTAGTTGTTCTGCATTTGTCGTGTGATCTTTTATCCTGTTATTCAAATCATATAGGTTTAGTGGGTTATAAACTTTTGTACAAGTTCTTAAATGTTCTAATAATATTTTTCCTGATTCTTCTCGGATCTCTTCTGCGACTTGTTTAGTACGAGGTGTTATTGGTGGATTATCTACATGAATGATCTTTTTGCATGACTTAACAAATCGGGAAATTTTATCATCCTCAGAAATCATATCTTTATAATCTTTTTCACACTCATAATCGTCTTCAAAAACAGGGAATTTTGTTTTAATTATAGTGGTATATTCAAAAACATCTTCATCATTAAAAATAATTGATTGTAATGTTTCAAAAGTTTCGATTTCTTCTTCTGTAAATCTTCCATTGGTAACGAATAGAATTTGATTTATTCCATCTTTAATACCACCAGTAGCAGCAGCAGCGTCTGCAAATTTATATAATATTCCTTGAGGAGTTAATCTTCTATCACCAATTCCCTCTGGATCAATTATTTCATATCTATATGTGCTTTTCTCCGTATTGTTATTAGTATTATTTATTACATTAGCTAGAGTCGTTTTTCCGCTTCCTTTTCTACCCAATAATAATATTTTTATAGTTTTAATTTCAGGAATTTTATCTTCCATTTTTTTTTTTTTTTTGATAAATATTCCCAACAAATTAGAAAAATAAATGTATATTATTATTATATATATATATTAGTGATGTTGGCCGTTTAAAAATCCTTAGCCGGCTATGCCGTTTACTACCTAAATTGGTAATTTTATTTCTATAACAAGAAAGTAACGCAGAAATCTATTACCAATTTTAGAAATTATGCATGCAGATTATTAGCCGACTAACATCACCATATATATATACTGTATATTTAATTATGTTGTGCCAATCAGAATTTCATATCCAAATACCCCTAATTCAAGTTTAGTCGAATTTGTTTTTTAACACAAACAACATTTATTATAAATTTTCCCCGAGATACATTTTTATAACATTTTGATTTATAATTTAGATTTATAATAATAAAATAAAAAAATAAAAATATAAATCTTTTTAAAGAATATTACAAGATTTTTCTGTCATATAATCTTTTACTTTTGCACTTATAAATTCTTGCAAGTTTTTTAGCGTATAAACTTCTTGCAAGTTTTTTGGCATATAAACTTCTGTGCAAGTACACAAGTAACTTAATATTTTTTTTCTTGATTCTTCTCGGATCTCTTCTGCGACTTGCTTAGTACGAGGTGTTATTGGCGGATTATCTACATGAATGACCTTTTTGCATGATTTAACTAATTGAGAAATTTTATCATCCACAGAAATCATATCATTATAATCTTTTTCACACTCATCATCCTCTTCAAAAACGGGGAATTTTGTTTTAATTATAGTGGTGAAATTGACAATATTTTCATCATTAAAAATAATTGATTGTAATGTTTCAAAAGTTTCGATTTCTTCTTCTGTAAATCTTCCATTGATAACGAATAGAATTTGATTTATTCCATCTTTAATACCACCAGTAGCAGCAGCAGCGTCTGCAAATTTATATAATATTCCTTGAGGAGTTAATCTTCTATCACCAATTCCCTCTGGATCAATTATTTCATATCTATATGTGCTTTTCTCCGTATTGTTATTAGTATTATTTATTACATTAGCTAGAGTCGTTTTTCCGCTTCCTTTTCTACCCAATAATAATATTTTTATAGTTTTAATTTCAGGAATTTTATCTTCCATTTTTTTTATTTTTTTTTTGATAAATATTCCCGACAAATTAGAAAAATAAATGTATATATATATATATTTTTTTTTTTTACTGTATATTTAATTATGTTGTGCCAATCAGAATTTCATATCCAAATACCCACCCCAAAATTTTAATTATAAATTACAAATATTAATATTAATTCAAGTTTAATCCTGCTTTAGTCGAATTTGTTTTAACAACATTTATTATAAATTTTCCCTGAGATACATTTTGATTTATAATTTAGATTTATAATAATAAAATAAAAAAAAAATATAAATTTTTTTAAAGAATATTACAAGATTTTTCTGTCATATAATCTTTTACTTTTGCATTTATAAATTCTTGCAAGTTTTTTGGCATATAAACTTCTGTGCAAGTACACAAGTAACTTAATATTTTTTTTCTTGATTCTTCTCGGATCTCTTCTGCGACTTGCTTAGTACGAGGTGTTATTGGCGGATTATCTAAATGAATGACCTTTTTGCATGATTTGATGAATTGAGAAATTTTATCATCCTCAGAAATCATATCATTATAATCTTTTTCACACTCATCATCGTCTTCAAACTCAGCAAAATTTGTTTTAATGATAGTAGTATATTTAAAAACATCTTCATCAAAAATCAATGATTGTAATGTTTCAAAAATTTCAATTTCCGGACCAGAAAATATTCCCTTTGTAACAAATAGAATTTGATTTATCCCGCATTTAATGGTTTCAGCAGCCTCAAGCAACTTACTTAATACTTCTTTTAGTTCCATTCTAGAGTTTCCAAGTCCTATAGTATCAACTATTCTGTATATTTTCCCGTCAATTAGAAAATTGCGAGTATTGGTATTCTTAGTTGAACGAATAGTATTATGACTTTCATCAAAAATTTTAGAACCACTGATTACACTTGCCAAGGTTGATTTTCCGTTTGCTGCACTTCCAACTAACATTACTGTTATGATCTCAACCTCTTTGCCATTTTTATTATCTCTATCGTTGTCATTCATATTTAATGATGAAACTTTGTCCGATATTTTCATTATTTATTGTGGCTAAACATCATCAAAAGTCACTTATTTATATATATCGTTAAAATTTCAAATTTCAAATTAATAACACAATCATATTATTTAAAACCTGTTCAGTCCCGGTTTAATCGCAAATCTAATTTAAATCTGAAATATCAAGGTTTTCCCCTTTATATAGTAGGAGAAAAATAAACAATTTTAATAATTATTCACAATATTAAATGTTATTACTAAATACCTGACGCCTAGATGCAAAATAATTAAATTTAGTTAGATATATCGAAAAAAAAAATTTTTCCCAGTCTTTAAAGAGAGAAAAAAGTACACTATTTTTAGAAGATTTATGTGGGAAACATTATTATTATACCGAACGCTTGCAAGTTTCTATATTTTTTTATTAGCCTCAGGAATTCTAACCCATTAAAACACATCACATCAGAAAGAAATCAAATCTTACCATTTCTAAAGTCTAATGTTGTCTTCTTTCCTTGTATAAAATTTTACCACAAATTTACATGATGAAATATTTATCAATTTACACTCTACTAATTTAAGCAACCTCAGATTGTGCATTAAAAGTGCCCCGAGTTTCTTGATTGATAATATGCGACTACGTTTATGAAATCGGCTAATTATGATTACATAAAGCAATTGATTTGTCAGATTTCTGACAATTACTTTTCAAATAGTCCCGATCGAATTTTCGTTAACAATAAGTCTGGTTTCGTATCCTTGTTTGTCATGATTTTTAATTTCTTCCTGGATGTTTTGGAAAAAGGTACTTAAAACAATCCCTGGTTAATTTTACGATTTTAATCAATTCTGTGATCCGAAACCTAAGTTTAAGGAAAAAATAAACCCAAACTCATATCTGAAACCAAACTCATGCCGAAACTTAAACACATACTAAAAATATAATTCTTATCAAAACATGATTCTTGCCATCAATATAAATAATTTGCTACTTTAGAATTGAATTAAAAAAAATTAAACAAATTTTGCGGATCATCAACCAGCAAAAATTTAGATCCAGTAGAGCTTCGGTTTCGATCTTGAGTAGGCTCTTTTCCCGATACTATTTCGGAATTCAAAAAGAGTATTGGGTCATATATAGCTTTTTTTTTTTTTTGATTATATTATGATAAATTGTTTTCGCCTAATGCATATGGTATCATGACATCGGTAAAAAGTGTATAGATGAAACACGTTAACGTTTTTCTGTAAGCGGGTTCAATATGTAATTGATGGCCATTACCTTAAATGAATTTGGTTCGGAGATGTCCACCGAAAACCCCTTTTCGGTAGTACCAAGACCGAAAGTACTTTTGAATATTCACAAGTTTGAAACCCAAACCGAAAGTCAAACTATGAATATATTTGACTAAAAATCGTTTAATTCTTTTTTGACAATCTCAAAAATATTATCAAAATCATTATCAAATTTTATAATTAATCATAGTTTTTTTTCTTTTTTCTAAATTCAACCCTTTTTTTTCTATAATAATTTGCGCTGTATATGAAGACATCAAATGCTGCGCATATTGCCTTAACGTTGATCTTTCCCGATTAAGAAATCATTCAGACAAAATATTTAATTTAAAATAGCCTTTTATCCGAAATATCACTGTGAATTAAATTATATAAAAAGTTTTTGGGAGCAGCTAAAGGATAAGCTAGAAAAATTGTGTAATTATTCATTTAAAGAATTAGAAAGAACTGTTCCTCTGGCATTGAACTCGGTTTCATTTTGTAAAATTGGAAAGTTTGTTAGAAGGTGTTATAGATTTGTGAGTGCTTATAGTTCAGGATTTTGCAATATTTGCAGCAAAAAACTATAAATCTCATAGAAAATTAGAAAAAATCGTTTGATACATCACGTGATAAAAATTGATCTATGTTCGTTTTCTGATTGGTCAATTAGTTTGATCGGCGTGCCGAAATTTTTAAATAATAATAAAGTTAATTAATTCTCTCGTAACTTTTCTTTTACTAATTAACTTTAAAAAATATCTATTACATTGTTGCTAACGTTCCAAAGATTGCAAAAATAGGGAATTTTTTGTGGGCCAACAAATATTTCCAAAGTTACCAGGGTTTAAAGATTTGCACTTTTTTTGATGTCTTTAGATAAGGCGCACCATATTAATCTTATTATTAGCAGGTTTCTTTTCGGTTTAGTTTTTATCATCCACATCATTATCATCATAACCATAATTACTATATATATCATTTGTCTCATAATCGTTTGTTCTATTTTCGCAATATTCATAATCATTTGTATCTCCACAAGTTGCAGGTTAATTTTGGTATTAATATTAGTCATTTTTGTATCAGGAAGTCTTCCTTAAATTGCTTTTCTATTAGGTATTGTATAGGCAGACCTAAGTTGTTCAAGTAATTCAATAAAATATAACATCAAAAGGTATATCACACATTACAAATGTCTTGATTAATGTTCTATTAATATTATCATTCCTTTCCGTGGTTAATGTTGTGCTTTTGTAGAATTCAGACAAACTTGGTTGTTCTTGTTCACTAGAAGAAATTTGATTACTTTCTTTTTTTTTAACAGTTTTTATTTGCTTTTTTACAATGACGTCCAAATAGTATTTTATGAATTGCTCTATTGCAACCATCACATTCCTTTGCCAGATGTTTTCAAACTTCCATTGTAACCTACAATGGCGACACATTGCAGAATAATGTCCTTTGCTATTTTTAACCCCGCTTCCTTTCACAAAGTGTATCCAAATATTTGAAGAAGGTCGTCCAATAATTCATGAATTTCTGATTTTGATTCTAAAATAAATGAACATGATGATATTTAGAATTATGTAGTTATGCCACACAAGATGAAAATAATTCCTCTCGTGGAACTTCTTTTACACTATTAATATATGTGTACCATTGTCAATAAAAAATAAAATGAATTTGTTATAAATTTTCTTAGATTATATACATATTATCTATTATTTAAAAAATTGTACTATATACAGTATGTTTTCTGTTGAGATTTTGACTTTGGTTTTTGAACTGAAATTTACCGAATGTTTCGATAGCTTGACATAGTTTCGGCGGACATCCCTAATTTGGTTTTAATATACCATTACTCTCGATCCTCGATCTTTTTATCCTTGCTCTAAAAATTTTATCAAAGTAAGAATTTCAAAGCAGTGCAAACGTTCTTGCAAAGGAAACATACCATCTCGTAATTTCTGACCAAAATATTTTGCTAACAAGCCCACGTGATTGGGCTATCAAGACATTTGCTAGACATCTGATAAAAAAATTTGCTTGCAAACATATCTGTTACAAAGTGATTGCGACAATAACTCCAAACCGACACGACAAATTAGTTTAAACTGGAATTTATTCCAAGAAACTAGCAATCGAACATACTCACCTACCTTCCATTTCTTTAATAATAGGAAAAAAATTTACAGTGGTATTTTTTTGTAACAATTAGTGTAAGTATTTATCAGATATATCTCCTATGCTTCTTGATATTAATATGACCTTTGTATTCATTGTTTGTACGGAGACAGATAACCTTGTATTATGCAAAAAAGAATTTACCCATTTAATCCGATAAATTTTTTTTTAGATTATACTTTAATATTTTGTCGTGGCATAATATTTGTTAATATTTTTGGAGTCATCGCCATAACTCCAAAAAGGGAGAAGTCAACGCACTCCACATACAAGAGAAAGTCCAATATCAAAATATCTTTAATTGATGATCTATCTACGAATGAGTAATGTATAAACATAATAATAATAATAATCAATTGCATCGGGAAAATAAATCTTTAATTCATGCAAAGTTCTTCTAAAGTCTTATTTATTTGATCTCTTTTCTTCTTGTTCATTATTTATTACATCATACACCATATATTTAATAACATAATAACTGATTTTATTATTATTTTTTTTTTGTATAAAAGGCATAAAGCTTCTTTTTCAATATAGTAAGTAGTTAAAAAATTATTTGAATAAATATATAATTATAACACCATATACCATACATTTCATTTATATAAATACTTAATATATATAATGATTTATAGGTTTCATTGAACTATTACTTTTTTTTTTGTATATAAAGCTTCTTCTTTGATATAGCTAAAAAATTATTTGAATAAATCTAATAATAACATATATTCCATATTATTTTTTATGTAAATATTTGTACTTATTGTACTAATAATTTATTTATTGAATTATTAAAATTTTTTGTATAAAAAATATTCCAACTTCTATAGTTCACTCCAATGGATTTTTCTATAATAGAACTTGCTCTATAACAGACTGAGAATTTAAGCCCAGTTTATATGTCCCATATTCTCTATAACTTAGCCAAATAGTCTGTTTTTGCTATCATCATTTATTATTATTATTATTATTATTATACAACCATTAAAGAAATATTCGAATCCATAGTTACCTCTTTTTTTGTTATATAAATGAGAAAAATTATATGTATATAATTTTATTCTATCTATAAACATAAAAAAAATAAAAATGTGGATGAGGAACAAAAAGTATAATACAATTTTTCCAACAAAGGTAATAGCAGTTTTTCCTCCGCCAATCATTATATAACATTCACGGTGCACAATTAAATATTAATATTATTTCATGATGAATGACATCATTTTATTGAAAAATTGGTCAATAATAACACTATTACTATATATATATCAATAAATAGTTTTTTTTTTTTTGTTTCTTGAAAAGCAAATTGTATAAAATTTCCTGACTGATAAATGATCTGCTAATTAACAGCATCTATCTATCTGAAAATCATTTTTGATTGTGTATCATTAATATTTTAGTTGCCCAATTCATTAAAAAAAAAAATGGATTCAGAACCAATAACTCCAACAAGTTCTCTGGCAAGTAATAGTATTAGATATAGTCTTGCAACGGAACTAGTTTATGCAGATAATGGCAATAATAGTAATAATAATGAAGAAAAAAGTGTAAGAGATCTTTATAATGCTTCTTCTATGCCAATTTATCAAACTGCTACCTTTAAACAAACATCTACAACACAAATGGGTGAATTTGATTATACTCGTAGTGGTAATCCAACACGCACACATTTAGGTGAGAGAGAAAGAGTTTTAAATTATATATAATATAAATTTTAAAAATTTATATACACAGTGACAATAAATTTCCTTTTTTTTTTTCATTTGTAATTTTCTAATTTATTATGATATATTTATTTATTTTATTGTAGAAAATCATCTTGCAAAAATCATGTCAGCAAAAAGAGCATTTGTAGTAAGTAGTGGTATGAGTGCGTTAGACGTTATTTCTCGTTTAGTCAAGGCTGGCGAGGAAATTATTGCAGGAGATGATATATATGGGGGTAATTATTATTATTATGTCATCATCATCATTATTAAAAGAATTCACACTCATTTTGCATTACTTCCTCAATATCTATCTACTTAGGTACAAATCGTCTCTTGGTATTTCTTCATAAACATTATGACATTAAAACTCATCATGTTGATACAACAAATACGGATTCTATTTTACCATATTTGCATCCAACCAAGACCCGACTTATTCTTTTAGAATCACCTACAAATCCATTACTTAAAATATCTGACATACCAAAAATTGCTTCAATTGTACATGAACGTTGCCCGAATGCTCTAATAGTAGTAGATAACACTATGATGTCCCCGTATCTTCAACGACCCTTGGAATTTGACGCTGATATTGTAATACATTCCGGCACAAAATATCTCAGTGGTCATCATGATTTAATGGCTGGTGTAATTGGCGTTAAAGATGAAACTCTTGCTGAGGTATTATTAATAAATTAGATTGTTAGCAAAGTTGGAAAAATGATTTAATTATTTTTATTTTTAGAATTAGATCAAGTGTCTAAATTTTATTATTATAGAAAATAATTAATGATTCTTTGATGAAATTTTCTAGAAAATATACTTCACCATTAATGCAACTGGGTGTGGTTTAGCACCTTTTGATTCATGGCTATTGTTACGTGGTATCAAGACATTGGCGGTTCGTATGGATAAACAACAATCAAACGCCATACAAATAGCAAATTTTCTCGAGTATAAAGGATTCAAAGTCAAATATCCTGGACTGAGATCACATCAACAATTCGATCTACACCACACAATGGCTACCGGTCCAGGTGCTGTGTTGAGTTTTTTAACTGGTGATGTAAAAACTAGCGAACAAATCGTCGAGTCTACAAAGTTGTGGGCTATTAGCGTTAGTTTTGGATGTGTAAATTCATTGATAAGGTAATTTTTATCATAATTATTTAATTATTTAGTCTTTAAACGATTAATGTTATTGAAATTATAATAATAATTTATTGTCGCTGTCGTTGATGATTTTTTAGTATGCCATGCAGAATGTCACATGCAAGCATTCCTGCAGCTGTAAGACAGGAAAGAGGTTTTCCGGAAGATTTAATTCGTCTATGTGTTGGCATTGAGGTATTTGTTTTATCAAATCTTTTTTCAATCAATTGAAATCATTCTCTCTCCACCTTCTAAAATATATATTATATATGTTTATATAGGATGTGAATGATTTAATTGAAGATTTATATAATGCGTTAGTTATAGCCAAAGCAGTTGATGTAGTAATATCAGAAAGTGGGATTGTAAATTATAACAATAACAATAATACATTTTTAAAAAATGAAGAAGAGGAAACAATAGATTTAAATAAATAACCCCCTCCCCCCTCTTTGAATAATGCATAGATTAATATATTTTAATTATATATAGAAATTATAAAATAAACAATAATTAATTTATTATCAATTACTTTTAAAAAAATTGTAACTACCAATGATTGACATTTGGATGAATGGTTTTTCATCATAATTTGACTTGAATAAATTTTTAATTCTTTTGGCATTAGGGTCTCAGCGTTCATGTATTTATTTATTAATATTAAAATGAGAATTTTTTTTTGGAATGTGATTGATTATTCTAAATATAGTTGTGGTGCACATAATGGTAGCAATCAGTTTCTTTTCTAAAAAATAACACATTTTTTACTCTAAATGGCCAATAGTTTTTCATCCTTAGAAAATATCAACTTACTTTTTAACAATCTTATAAATTTTAATAAAGATGCATTGCCGTTAAATCATATAAGCAAACTTGTAAATGATTTAGCAAAATTATTAAATGAACCAGATTATTATGATATAGAAATTAGGGTTGGAGCAGAAAACGACAATGTTAAAACCTTTAAAGCTCATTCTAACATTTTAAGAGCAAGGTCTTCATATTTCAAAGTGGCCTTATCAGATAATTGGATAAAAAAATCGGAAGACGGTATTATTTTGTTTGAAAAAGAAAGCATACCTCCAAAAGTGTTCGAAGTTCTTTTGACGTAAGGATTAAGATTCAAGTAATAATAACTGACTGATTGAGATAATTTTCTTTAAAATATCACTTTAATTTATTATATTTTATTTCTTGCATTGAAAAGATATATTTACTATGGAATCATTAATGTAAATACTCTGAGCCCAGATGAAGTTTTTGAACTTCTTAAGGCTTGTGACGAATTAGGTTTTAACGAGTTAATCATAGATTTACAAAGCTATTTAATTATAAAAGGAAAAGAATGGATTCATCAAAATTTGATTTCTATTCATGACATCTCATTCAAATATCAATCATTTAGTTTACTTCAAGTTCATTGCAAAGAATTGTTTAGCGAAAGTCCAGATTTAATTTTAAATTCAAATGATTTTAAATATATCGAGAGATCAATTCTTATTTCTTTATTGAAAAGAGAAGATATAAATTTGAAGGAAATTGACATCTGGGATCGTGTTATTCGATGGGGTATTGGACAAATTGAAAATTTAGAGGAAGAAGATATTTTAGAATGGGACAATGAGAGCTTAATCGAGTTGAAGAATTCGTTAAAAGATATTCTCCCATTGATAAGGTTTAATGTAATTCCCTTGAGTGATTTTCATGAAAAAATTAAACCTTTCGAAAAGTGTTTTGACGAGAAATTTTATAAATTATTACTTCAATGTTATAATAATGAATGGAAAAAGGCACTACCAATATTATATCCACAAAGGAAAGGTCCGAGAAAAGGAAAAGGAAAATTATTAAATTTGGAAATTAAATGCATGGTTTCCAGTTGGATTGACAGCAATCTTAACATGTACGATATAGATAATGTACCCTATGATTTCGAATTAATTATTCAAGGAACAAAAGATGGATTTTCTAGATCTGCTTTTGAAGAGAAATGTTATAACAACAAGGAAACTGTGACCATTATGGAACTTAAAGAAACGGGTGAACTGGTTGGTGGCTATAACCCATTAGATTGGAATTTCAGAAGATGGTCTTTAAGTGATTATTATCAAACAGATAAAGGCTTTATTTTTAAGATTGACCCAAATCAAATAAGCAATTCAATACTAAGTAGAGCCAATGATCCTGGTCTTACGACATATCAAAATAGCAAGAATACCTACTTTACAGTAGGTAACATAAAGTTCCATGAAAGATTGATTAATTTTAATGATTTACAATTAAACACTATCAATAATCAACCATATTGTGTTTATTCTAATCATCTTGGTTCTTCTTTCAAAATGAATTTTAAGCTTGAGAACCAACACAAAATAGCTCATTTGATAGTAGAATATGAAATGTATAAATTAGTAAAGAAAACCAATGATAAATATAGCACACATGTGTCGTTTTAAAAGCATTCAGATTTAATTGAAGTTTCAGTAACTAACTTTTCCAATATCTGACCTTGAACCTCCTGATACAATACCATAAATAAATATATTGATTGATTGATTGAAGATTTATCTTCTTACCTCCGAAATTTCCAATATATCACCATAATTATATATAATGTTGTTATTAATTGTAACAAATAATTATAATTAATTATAAAATATCATGTATTTTGTCCCTAATTTAATTGTTTTTTTCTTTTTCCAAAAATCGAGTGATTTTAATACGTGTTTATATATGAGACATACTCTAACCAGACCAAGTGAACATAATAATCAATAATGATAACACAATATCAGTTTTTAAGAGACACTACCCAAACTTTTTAATCAATGGATCCATATGGGATAATTGTGGTTATAAATTAGGTAAGTGCTGGATTGTTTCAAATGCTCCTTGTTGAATGGTTACCTAACTAATACCTTTTTCTTTTCCAGGATCCTTTACTCTTTCACCAATTCTCTTAGTGTAAGAATTTGTTTTGTATGTAAGTTTTTCTTTTTCGAGGGGCAATTTCTTCAATTTCTTCAATATTTATTATTCTTGTACAAGCCAAATTTTTTTTTAGAAAAACAATTGATTAAAAATCTAAGGTGAGGAAGAGAACCGGATAAGCACTTGTCAATAAACAGAAGTAATATTTGGTATATATGGTTCCGAAGATGATATGTTGTTTACTAATGACTGGAAATTTATGATTTTTTAACCAAGCGTAATCAGAACGTGGAGCAAAACTTATTGTCATGTCGTCCACATTATATGATGATAGGTGATTATGCAAGATTCTTTACCATGACGATAACAAACAAATGATTGGTATGTTTGTTTTGCGTAATCGTTATTAATGTAAACAATTATAAGAAATTGAAACCTCTCTCTCTTCTCAAAATGGACAACTCGATATGCAACGTTTGATTACTGGATGGAGATTTACAGATGCTAAAGTGTATTATTACTTCAAGCCCGATATTTAAACTATTGAAATTATTCTCATCTTCCTCGTGTACATAAGTCTAATCTGACCTGGTCCTCCAATGATACAACGACGCAATTAAATATTCAAGGGGAGTGCGTGCGTGGCCCTGAAGTTGCTTGAAATTGCATCATTGTCAAGAAAACGGTTAAAGCTTTTCATTTGCCCAAAGTCTTCCAACATAGAGGTGGACCCACCTGCAGAGAAAATTCCATGATTATGGGGCGTGCGAGAGCACAGACCAACGTGTTTGTGATAGGAAGTTTATTAAATCTGACACCTGTGATCAATATCAAAGGTTGAAAAGCTTTTATTTTTGGGGGAACTCTATAACAATGAAGGAGAATTCCAAAGCAATTAAAAGAAAATAGCTCGCTATCTAAAAATGAAATTCTGTCAACAAAGCAAAGAATAAGCCAGAAAGGAAGAAATTAAGCCCTTATTGAATTTATATTTTTGACTAATTATTCCAAATGTCTTATATGGAAGTTATTGAGTAATTAGAAAGTTAACAACAAATCACATTATTGAACATAAAAATTGACATTTACTTTTTATCCTTAAAAAAATATAAATTCATTGATAAATTTGTAAATAATTTAACAAATTTGTTAAATCAAACAGATTATTATGATGTAGTGATTAAAATTGGAAAAATATTAAAACTTTTAAAGCTTATTCTAACGTTATTTCTTTATTTCTTCAAAAGTATTGAAATACTTTAACGTAATTATTAATTAATTTAATTGTACATTTTTCAATTTTATTTTACAATGAAATTATATTAGTATTAGTACAGATAATCTTGATCCAGATGAAATTCCTAACATGTGACGAATTAAATTTTGATGGATTGATTGAGGATTTGTTTACACATTCATAGAATTTCATCTAAATATCAATCTTCAACTTACTTCAAAATTATTAGTTGTTGAAAATGCTGAATCATTTTTAAAATCTGACAATATCACGGCAATGGAAAAATCAATATTCACAACTATATTAATATTGAAAAATGATATCTTGAAGCTGACGTTTGGAATTGCATTATTCATCAGGGAAATAGGGGGCAAAATGATAAATTGGATAAAAATATTTCAGAGCGGAATAAAAATAATTTTAAAGAATTGGAAAACGTACTGAAAGAAATATTATGACATTGAACAAACAGTTATTATCATGAAAAGCAAAGAAACAGAAGAATCAGTTTGTGGATATAATCCTGTTTGTTGGAATGTAAAAGGAATCTTCAAATAAAAATTGATATTAAAACAGATAAAAAGTTTTGCAATACAACATTTTGCAACTGAAAATGATTAATTGATAACAGCATTAATAATGAATCTTTGTTATTATTGTTATCATGAAACTTTAAAAATGAAGATTTTTTTTGTATTATGATATATTTATCACGTGGATTATTCTAATGTTTCACAAAAAACTATTTTTTTTTTCTTTTTCCATTAAAAAAAAATTGGTTTTATTGATAATTAATTTAATTAAAATAACAACAGCAACAACAACAATAATAACAGCAATAATAAAAAATGTCTTTAAGTGCTACAAGAGAAAGACGTGCAAATGCTGGCAGTCGGTAATAAATTACTCGAAGGGAGTTTTTATTTGTTAATGTAATAATGTTTATTAAAACCTGTGTTGAAATTTAGGTATCAATTTCAAAGAAAGGATATTGAAATGGAAATTGATAGTGAATATGGAGATACATTTAAAGAAATTTCAGATGATGAAGAATTTATGGATTCAAGTATATAATAATTTATATAAATATATACAAATAAGTATAATATATATAAATTAATGGACTTTATCTTATGGAATAAAATTTTTTTTATATAGATGACGATGAAGATACTATTGATTCTGATTTCCATACAGAGGATGAAGATGATGATGACTATGGTGATGACAATGGTGAAGCTGAAAAATTGATCCTATTAGAAGAAAAACGTGAAGAAAAAGAAAAAAGGGTAATTAATTATTCGATAAATATGAAATTGATGAACTAATGAATAATTATTCATTTAATTTGTAATAATAATAATAATAATAATAATAATTGTAATAATAATAATTATTATTATTGTTATATTATTAATTTTGTAGAAAAAAGCAAAGAAGGCTCTTAATTTACCACCTTTATCAATAAATCTTCGTAAAAGAAAAACAGATCAATTGTCCAATGATGATATTTGCAACAATTCTGTAAAATCATCATCTTCTCAAAAGAAAGGTTCTACTCAATCAAAAAGAAGAAATACTAAATCGATTAGTAATAATAACTTAGAAGATGATAATATACAACAATTAGGTATGTAAATCAATTAACAAGTTAATTAATAAATCAACTAATGAGTTAATTACCAAGTTATTATTAAATCATTTTTATCAAATCATTTTTCTCATTAGCTCCAATTGTACCAATTTTATCTGGTATTAGGTCATCATCTAGATCACATACATTGCAAAGTAAACAATTATTAGCTGAAAAATTAAAAGAATATGAAGAAAAAAAAGTATTTTAAAGCTTCTATTTTATTTTTTATTTGACTCGCGATAATAATAATAATTGTTTTTAATTGTTTAAAAGCTATTATATCCAAAACGAGAAAAAATAATAACGGAAGTATTAACGCAAGAAGAACTTCTTGCAGAAGCAAAAGAAACCGAAGCATTGAATTTGGCATCACTCAAAGAATTTGAATTAAGAGAAAATGAAATAAAAGATTCCGTTAGACGAAACAATAGACTGTTTCTTGAAAATCAACCAAGGGTCATTGAATATTCTTTTATAAAAGAAATAAATCAACCTATCGATAACACCATTACTAATACTATTAGTAATAGTAACATTAATGATGATGATAATAATGACAATAATGATAATAATGACAATAATGACAATAATGACAATAATGGCAATAATGACAATAATGATAATAATGACAATAATGATAATAATGATAATGATAATGATAATGATAATAATAGTTTACAAAAACCATCACCATATCCAAAATTGATAATAGAAATCTCAAATGATGACAACAACATCAATTATAACAACAACAATGATAACAATAATAGACCCGGCGACAACAATAATAACGAAAATCCAGATTTTGACGATATTACAACAATAACTTCGTCAACAACTACAACTACTGCTACAACACCAGCTGCAACGCCCATCACTGCTTCGTTCAGCAACAGCAATAACAACAATAATAAAGAATTAATAAGTAGCAATGTTATTAATAACAATATTATTATTTTGGATGATGATTGCATTGACGATAGTAATAACAATAATGCCAGTATTAGTGGTAATAGTAGTGACACAATTGATAATCAACAACCAATTCAAGATAATCGAATATTTAAAAAAGTAGTAATCTTTAAAAATCTTCCACATGCTCAGGAATCTGAATTATTTCGAGATTGGAGGAAAAAACCTCAAAGTAATTTATTTAATGAATAAACCAATTATTTATTATTTATTTGTCATTTTTAATAATAGATCTTTTTATTTTTTTTTTTAGAGGCAAAAAAAATAATTTGCCCATTTACAGGGCTTCCAGCCAAATACAAAGATCCAAAATCTGGCATACCATATGCAAATATGGAAGCTTATTCCAGAATTCAAAAATTAATGAACCATCAATATATTTGGTATGGTAAAGGTTGTGTTTATTTGAATGGCCCTGATCAACCCCCTGCTAAAGGTGTCCCCGACAAATTTGGCAAATAGTTTTTTTGGCATTTTCTCTAGGAATTTAACGATTTATTAATGATGCGTTTATTTGGGAAAAAAAAAAACCAAATTTTATAGCGCTATAATGATTTATTATTTGATTGATTGATTTTTTTTTTTTTTTTTTTTATTTAAACAACAAATTAAATTTATTTTTACGAGGCTATTTATTCCTTTGAAATAATTAAAATAAAATATATTGAGCAACAATATCTATGAAGTTTAAATGCATCATAGATTGTTGACTGATCCGGATATTATTACCTAGGGAGCAAGAAATCAGAATCAGCATTAGATCTATTTCTATGTATTTTAATATAGACTGCGTAACTTTGAATTGTTATTTATTTTTAAAAATTAATGTTATCCATATTTGTCATAGTAGAAAATTATTAGAAATTGTATAATTTACCAGCTGCAAGGCTTACAATGAAGAAATTTGAAATAGAGATTGTAAGTAATCTTTATATAATGTTTTGTCTGTTTAGAATCTAGATAAGGTTAAAATTAGAATTTTTTAATGTGGCAATACCTTCTGGAAGTTCCATTGTAAATGAGAATAATAAGTCTTGGTAGAATTTATAAATTATTTTCAAGGAGATTGAATATGATTGGAGTAAGGATTCATGGGGAATACTTTAGAAAAGGCTGATTCGGCTAATTCGTCAACTATATTAATATTATCATTTATTTCCTGTATGCATTTTATTGTATAAAAGATAGTTTTCTCAAGTATCTGTAATAATAATAAATCGATATTGAACGGTGTGGACACAAGTTATAAAACAGTCTTGCTAAAGACTGTTTGACGTTTTCATTTTTTAATTGAGTCCAGGACAAGATAATTTAATTCCAAATTTTGATAGAGAGCCTTCTGTAAAGAGGAGATGGCATATGTATGATGCGTTTTGCAAAGGGCTTGATATAAATAAATATCTGAAACATTCATAGTAACGTATATAGTGTATGTTTTACAAAAATTTACTAATTTACGATCGTTTATCAAGCAAGTCTAAAAAGCATTATACCAATCAACTCGAGCATTAGTAATCAGAAAAGTATGATTTAGCATTAGTTTCTTTTTGCCAATATATGGCAATCGAATGTATCAATGCCCGTGATTGTCATAGATCATTTGTTGGAAGTCTCGGGTCAGTAAAATAAACAATTTTCGCCAATTTGATTTATTGTTGTAATTCTAACTAAGATCTTCTGGCCCGTCCATTCAGTTTTGTTGGATGGCAATCATTCGAGCATATTTAAACGAAAGAACCTCAAGCATGCTACATATGAAGTACCCTCTCGACCCAAGTTGTTTCGCGACAATGGTCGGAGATTGTGTGCCAGATTTTGAAAGTGTGTGCATGGCGTTATTAGGATGCTCCTGGTCCATATTTCTATAACGTCTAACGTGACGAGATCACCATTTCAATTATGGCCGCCCAATCGTATTTCGAGTATGTGACCAAACTTTTTTGCCCAGGTGTATGTATATAGCATCTGTAATAATAATATAAAATACGCGTATTAATTTAATTGAAAAAACTAATTTACACATTAACATTTCTTTATTAAATAAAAATTAATTAATTTACATAATGCTTCTTTATTAAATTAAATAAATAAATAAATAAAAAAGATCGAGCATACATTAGAAATAAGATAAAATAATTCTTTTAATTTTTAATTATATATAAATTGTATATAAAATTTTATTTCACCATCCTCTTTCAGCCAAAAGTTGATGCGTCGGTATTGTTTCAATATTAATGCCAACCTTAATAATTTTTTTGAAAATGTTTTTTTAATAGATGAAACAAATTAAAAACGATCGTATCATCTTAAATTTGAAAAAATAACATACCATAGGTTCACCTAAATCTTCAGATACATTTGCTAATACTTTTGGATCATTGTAATAAGTTACAGCCTGAACTATGGCTTTAGCTCTTTTTGCTGGGTTGCCAGATTTAAATATTCCAGAACCAACAAACACACCATCACACCCAAGTTGCATCATCATTGCTGCATCTGCAGGTCTGTTTGTAAATAATTTTTTTAAAAGTAAATAAAATAAAGTTAAAATCTTTAAGAATAGTCAATGTTAAAATGATATATTGTATTATCAAAAAATTACGTTGCCAAACCCCCGGCAGAGAAATTCACTACTGGAAGTCTTTTCAATTCAGCAGTCTCTTTTAATAAATT